TAATATATATATATATATATATATATATATATATATATATATATATGTATATATATATATATATATATATATATATATATATATATATATATATATATATATATATATATATAGAGATAGAGAGAGAGAGAGCGAGAGGGAGAGCTAGATAGACATAGCGATAGCTAGATTTATGAGTAAAATTGCAAAATATAACTTTAAAAGTGTAATTATACAAAATTATACAATGTAATTTTTATTTTGAAAATTGAAAAAAATATGTGTAATTTATGCCTTTAACATTCAAGAATAAGATAAGCAAAATATAATTTTGAGCCCCCTCTTGATTGTGAAGCACTTTGGGTGTATGGTCATACACGATAAACACGCAATATTAATACACACATTATATTACATTGTATAATTTATATAAAATACATAATATTTAAAAATTATTACTATACATTTTCTTTTTTTTGTAATTATTAATAATATCCCATTCTATGCCTAAAGTAGTGTTTGTTTGAGCAAAATATACTTTTATTTTAATGTAATTCTAGAAGAAATGCAAGTTTTTGTCCTGTGAGATCTACTCACTACGTCATCTATTCTTTTACATGTGTCGAAAGAGATCCTGTAGCTGAAGCTGTAAATACTCAAAGATATTGTCAGTACTATTGGACCTCTAGATAAAGCCAGCCAGTCTTCCTCTCACAGCTGACTCCATTTATCAATGCAGTCTGTTTAGTGTCAGTCTTGCATCAGGTTATTGGACTGTGGGTCAGAACAGATGGAAATCCATCAACGTGAGTGGGTTCGGGAAACTCTCCATTAAACCACGTCATGACACTTATCGCTATCAGACTAATCAGTTTGTCAGATCAGTGAATCCGACAGTGAAATCAATACGTAACAGCAGTTCCCATGACTCTAATTGGTCAATGCACGTCCATTGTGTCCGCTTATTAACAGTAGCCGTTCCATAGACTTACTCCTCTGATGCCTGATTGTTTTGTTTTGTTTTGTTCTGTTTCATTTTGCATTTTGCATTTTGTTTTGTTTTACCTTTTGTTTTTGTTTTTGTTTTGCGTTTCTTTTGTGTTTTGTTTTGTTGCCTTTTGTTGCCTTTTGTTGCCTTTTGTTGTTTTGTTTTGTTGATTAATTTTGCATCTCGTTTTATGCTTTGTTTTGATTTTGTTTTGCATTTTTGTTGTTTGTTTTGCATTTTGTTGTTTTGTTTTGTGCTTTATGTTTTGCATTGTTTTTTGTTTTGCTTTGTTTGTTCTGTTTTGCATTTTGTTGTTTTGCATTTTGTTTTGTGTTTCGTTTTGTTTTGTTGCATTTCGTTGTTCCTTTTGCATTTTGTTTTTTGTTTTGTTTTATGCTTAGTTTTGTTTTGGTTGTTTTGTTTTGTTTTGTTTTGCATTTTGTTGTTTTGTTTTGCATTTTGTTGTTTTGTCTTTTCTTTGTTTTTTGTTTTGCTTTGCGTTTTGTTTTGTGTTTCATTTTGTTTTGTTGCATTACATTGGTTTTGTTTTGTTTTGCGTTTTGTTTTGTTGCTTTTCATTGTTTTGTTTTGTTTTGCATTTTGTTGTTCTGTTTTGTATTTTGTTGTTCCGTTTTTTATTTTGCATTTCTTTGTTTTTTTGCATTTTGTTTTGTGTTTTTTTGTATTGTTTTATTGCTTCTCGTTGTTTTGTTTTGTTGTTTTGCTTTTTGTTTTGTGTTTCTTGGTTTTGTTTTGTGTTTCGTTTTATGCTTTGTTTTGTTGTATTTTGTTTTATTTTGCGTTTTGTTGTTTATTTTACAATGTTGTTGTTCACCCACTATGCTATCTGTTTTATAGCACACTTAAAAAATTTGTTTTGTTTTCCTATGTTTTTTCTTTTGTTTTGCATTTTGGTTTGTTTTGTGTTTTGTTTTGTTTTGCTTTACACTATTGTTTCTCACCCACTAGGCCACCCAATTTTATAGCAAACTTAAAAGTTTGTTTTATTCGTGCCTCTCCATTAAACCACACTTATCACTGTCAGACTAATCAGTTTGGCAGATCACTGAATCCGACAGTAAAATCAATACGTAACTGCAGTTCCCATGACTGCTCAATACACATCAGTTTTGTCAGCTTATTAACAGTAGCCATTCCATAGACTTACTTCTCAGATGCCATTTTTTCAGAGCTCATATTTGAAAAGCGAAGAGAATGTTTATAGATCTTGGTTCTGTGAACAAAAGGAGGGTTCAGTGGTCCTGTGTTGAAATAGCGGGACTGGATCCAGGCGATGGAGAGCGTCCAGGACTCAAGCAGGGTCGGTGCTGTGGTCACGGCCCAGAACTTTGTGGTTTGATGACCATTATAATAATAATAATAATAATAGTAATAATAATGTCAGGACCGACAAGCAGACGCCATGGTTGGGCTAAAGAGGAGGGGGAAGCTGATGAATAAAAGCTCTTCTTTTCTCAGTTTTTTTTTCTCTTTGTCCAGCTTTTACTAAATAGTTATGGCACACCTTTTCCGTGTTTTGTTACTGTTTTTATTCTCTTCACATTTTAGGGTAGTAGTTGAGTCATGACTATTATGAAAGAACACAAATTAAAGGTTATGTACTGACCATAATTCTGACATTTTAATTATGACAGTTTTGTTTTGTTTTTCTTTTTTTTCCTTCGTTTTGTTTTTTGCTTCACTTTGTTTTTTCGTTTTTTTAAACGCTTTGTTTTTGTTTTTATTAAATGTTTTTAGTTTTTTTGCTTTATTGTTTGTGTGTTTTTTGCTTAATTTCGTTTTTTTGTTTTATTTTTTATTTTGTTTTATTTTATTTTCATTTAATTTCTGTTTTTGTTTTGTTTTGTTTTTGGCTTCATTTCATTTCATTTTTTTGTTTTGTTTTTCCCTTCTTTCATTTTCATTTAGTTTTTTTGTTTTGCTTTCAAGTTTCGTTTTCATTTCATTTAGTTTTTTGTTTTGTTGGTTTATTTTGTGCTTTATTTTATTTTCATTTCTTTTAATTAAATTTTTTGTTTTAAATTTCACTTCATTGCATTTTCATTTCATTTCATGTTTTGTATTGTTTTGTTTTTCACTATTTCATTTTCATTTTGTTTCATTTAGTTTTCTGTTTTGTTTTGCTTTGTTTTATGTTTTAGGTTTTGATTTGATTTGTTTTGTATTGTTTTGTTGTTTTGTTTTGAGCTTTTTGTCTTGTTTCATTTCGTGTTTTGTTTTTTCTTTTGTTTCTTATTTGTTTTTTTTTTGGTTTTGTTTCATTTGTTTCACCATGACAATATTTTGAATATGTTTTGACCACCTGTTTAGCACTTTTATAACACATAAAAAGTATTGACATTTTTTTAAAATCATTTTATTAGATTTTTCATCTATATTAATCACTTAAAGTTTTGTTTAGTGTTTTTTACTTGTTTTTTGTTTAGTTTAGTTTTTTTGTTTTGTTTTGCTTTGGTTTATCTTTCTTTTTCATTGATATTAATTTGCAAACTTCATGAAATGCACCCTGGGATACTTTTTACACCATTTTGGAAGAGGATTATATCTGCTGGACACACAAAAAAACTGTGAAAACTTTTTTTTTTGTGTTTTGTTTTGTTTCACTGTGACAACATTTTGAAATATGTGTCCACCCACTACCTTTTTACAGCACACTTAAAACGTTCCTATAGTTGAACTTGTGAATACTCCAAGACTGTGAAAGTTCTTCTACTTTACTCTAGGTTTGATTTGATTCATTTTATTTCAGAAGATTGCAACAAACTAATTCAGTAGTGTTCAAAAGTTGGAAGCGTTTCTCTACAGCCACCTAGTCTGTACTTTTTCAAGCATTAAATCAGTTTTGATTATAAATGTGGGCATTACTGTATATACAGTACAAGTGGTTAAGCTCTTACTGAACCTATTTATAATACTTACCTATGCTTAATGCTTCAAGTTCAAGCCCAGAGAAAAATACAGCTATTATTCACATAAATCCTACACATTCCCCAC